GAAGGAGAAGGCGGTAAAGATGATGGTTGAAGCAGTCAGGTCAATCGACAGAAAGAGCACTTCATAAGGGTTCGACTCTCAGCTCCGGGGACCAGAGCAATCTCTTGAGATTTTAGGCTTTTCAGTTATTTTTCTTGTATATTGGTTTGTCAGTGAGTTGTCAGATAAAAGTGCACTTTCATTTGCGTAATGTTTTGCAGTCTTTTTTTTTTTTTTTTATAATGATTGTTAATTATTTAATGTTTCTGCGTTATTGTTGTTGTTTTTCAACAGAATGTGCCAAATGTATTTAAATACAGCAGACAGTTTTTTTAAAACAAATACTGTTTGTATTAATCTAATAACTTCATTTCAGATGTTGATTTGGGGGAAAGCCTATACGAGCTCTGAAGGCTCAAGGAGACTGAGTTTCAGGTTGCATTATATTAATATTTCGAAATCCCGTCTGTACAATTAAGGGATGCGAAGGGCGTTTGTTGTCAGCAATGGACTTTCAGTGCAATAAAAAAGAAAAACAACAACAATAGCAAAACAGTCTGGCTCACTTCCACACGTTTACTTTCTAGGGATGAAATGAAGACACAGCTGTGGCCTTTACCTGTCTCGCTTAATTTAGTGCGCAAAAGAGCCAAACCTGCAGTTCTGCAAATCTACTTCTAGTAGAACGATCCGATCCAAACATTTAGCCTTTCTGTTCTTGCTACCTGTATCCCTGCATGCATCTTGTATCATGTCTTTGCTGGAACTGAAGAGATTGCATCAGTCATGATTGAAGACCCACAGCAATATGCATCCAATTCAAACCATGCAGACTGTCAATGAGAGCTACTTTATTTTTATGTGAAAATTGTCCTTTTGTTGTCCTTATTGTCATTGTTTTACTGGACAGTTGTGTTTCCTGCTTCCATCATCCAATATTCTTCATTGGGTCCCTTTTTATGCACATTATATATTCAGCACGCATTTTAACACACATGTACAAAAGATTTTCAAAAAACGAAATCAGCCAAAATGATGGTAATGCTTGCCTATGAGCATCACCACTGGGCAGGATTGATCTTAGGAGTCATTGTTTTGCATTTTTGCCGGCTGAGGCCTGCCTGCTATATGCATGCCATTCAAGATGTTTTTGGATGGGAACAGATTCGACATTTATACTGCTCTCAGGGGCAGAACCGTAATGTGGTATCTCCACGGTTACTCATATCTGGATCATGCCTAGAGATTCTGAATATTAACGATGAGAACGAGAGGGGGTTTTGTACAGATAATTATACAAAAATATTACTACATGTTTTCTACTTGGAATGTACAAAGCAATGTCTTTCAGTATTACAATGTTTGTCCGTGCTCGTGTGTGTGTGTGTGTGTGTGTGTACGTGTGTGTGTGTGCTAATGCATACACAAACACCCGCGTACTTAGATTTTACATTGACTGAATGAATGTTGAAACAAAAGATGTGTTTACATTTTTGTTTTCTTTCTTTCTTTCTTCTGTTTTTGAGATTGTGACTGTACATAGTGCAGAATGTTTTTTAAGTGTGTGTGTGTGTGTGTGTGTGTGTGTGTGTGTGTGTGTGTGTGTGTGTGTGTGTGTGTGTGTGTGTGTGTGTGTGTGTGTGTGTGTGTGTGTGTGTGTGTGCAGGAAAAATCGAGTATTGACTGTGTCAAATGTGATGCATTCTTCAACATTTCATTAAAGTCTCAAATATTAACTGTTATTAATGCAACTTTGCAAACGATGACTTGCGGACACACTGAATGATGTGTTTAATAAATGAATAAACGGTAAGATTATTTGGTGAAAAAAAGCAAAGCATAATCTGTGTATCTCATTACCTTATAAGCAAACTATGCATACAAAACAAATCATTTTAAATATATAGCACTACCATTTAGTTTACTACAGTTATGTTTAACAGATTTAAAATAAAAAAAATGTTGAGTTTTTAATAAAAATACACACTCGGCTTACATTCCCACAGAAAAATTGTAAAACTTCCATGTCATACTCTTGGTAGGCTCTCGCCATGGCAGAATTTCTTTTTTGTTGAATAATTATTAGAACAGTGGCATTTAAGGATTATTTTGGATTTTGAATAATTAAACATACGGAAATAATTCAACCATTATGTGACGGTCCTTAATTAAAAATGCAGCTCCTCATAGGCAATATAGAAAATGTTCATCAGGTTATATAGCTCTTGCATCCTAGATAACAAAAAAAATAAAAAAAATAAATGCAGTGTTTATCTGGGGTGCAAAACGGTAATGACACAACCCAAATATTGATCCATAAAACTCATCTACATACCGCTGAAATCTGCCGAAAGCTAAACAAGCATTCTGAATGTATACATTGGCATTATTGTCTTGAATAATGCATCGAAATGGCAGAATGTCAGAGTTGTGTACACAAGTTAGTTTGCACCTCTTAACCTCTCTCAATGTAACTGAAGAAGGGAAATATTACAGTGCTGATGGGTTAGATTTCTGATTGGAGAGTGTAAATGTTGAGTTATATCAGGTTCTGTAACATCGGGTTCTGTTCAAGGCCATTTTTAGAGAGATATCTTCATTTCTGAAGCACACATGCTATGAGAACTATTGTTTTTCAGAAATAATACATACAAAAACAGCTTGTGGCTTTTTTTTTTGTTGTTTTTTTGATATATCTGTTATTTTCTTTTTTCTTTCTGTGCCAAGACACATCAGAATGCAGGGCCAAACTGCAGCGGTAAAAATAGCGAAGCAGTTCTTACAGATCAGATACGATACCCGGTGGAGTTGTGTGCATGCATGTGCGTTTCTCCAGTTTGAGGAGAGCATTTTACATTAGGAGCTGACACGTTATAGAGATTCAAAAAGAAATTCGTTTGACAATTAGAATGTGCGCCAGTAATTCAAATGTAAAACGCAATGTCCATCATAACTCTGATTTTATTATATGCTACTACAAGTAGAAGTCTTCCTCATAAAGTTCTGTGAAGCAACAAGCAATCGTGACCTCCAGAAAACTTGTGTGTGTGTGTGTGTGTGTGTTTGTGTTTTGAGCATGCATGCATGCTTCTGTATATCTGTGCTGAGTGCTTCCATGTCCATATTTTCCTTTGTTTTTTAATATGTGAGTCAATGTCATTAGAATTGCCAAGACTGAATTGCAGTGTCTCAACATCATTTGCATTTAATCTAGAACTTTGTGAACGTTTACTAAGGAGTCGATCTGTTTTTTGGGGTAAATAGATATCGTGACGAGTCTCACAACAACACCCCCCCTCCTCGTCATGGTCTCAGCATGACTGTTCACCGTCCGGCTTTGGATCAGAGCCAGGATGAACAGCCTTGTTTGTCCCAAACTTGCAGGCTTGGCTGCCCTGGAACAATATGCACAGAGGAGCGAACAGAGATGTAAATGTGGCCCTAGTCAGCTCTGAAGCAGGCCCTGTTTCACAACACTGATTCACTGTTGTTTACCTGATTATTTTGCTCCCTGTAACCCTCTCATTATGGCCGGTCATTAAAGACATTTACCATGATGCTGTCCACTGCGCTGTACATGATCAGAGACATCTTCTCTACAAAAAAAAACAAAAAAAAACAGAAGGGAAACAAGAAAGTCATCTTTATTAATGGCCATCCGTTCTCATAATGTTTGCGGTTTATAGTGTGCAAATAAATAATTTGTTGTGTGGCAGATATTTTGGTATCCGTATTTTTTTTTTCTGGACTGTATCTCTTACTGCATGTCTTGCATGTCTCTTTTCAGATGGAGGCACTTAGAGTTGTTCGTGGTCACTTTTATGAGTGTGAGAGACACACAACCATGGGATTTAGCTCAGTAGAAGAAAGGATCTTTTGATACGTTTTTACCTCCTGTTACTTCCATTGCCTTATAATAAGGCCCAGTGGTAAAGTCTTTTAATTGTTCACAAAATTAATTGATGTTATCCTTTTGTGGAGAGGAAATGTTCACTTGGCTTCTGATTTTGTTGTAAATTCAATGTTTTCCAGTTGATGCGTACTTGAACACACACCTGAATAAAATACAACTGAATCCATTTTTGATTGTCTTTTTTGTGTTGCACATGTAAAAAATAAACAACTATGCAAACAACTGAAAACATTAAGAATAAATGACCAAAATTGGTTGTCTGAATGCATACATTTTACAAAATAATAATAAATAATAATAATATTTAATATATTTAATATTTAAGCCTATATATATATTTATATAATCTATAGGAATTATATAGAACAATAACTATAACATATTCAGAAAGTGATCCCAACTATATGTTCCTGCGTGTTGTTTTAGTAGTAGTTTGGACTTATTCTCATAGAATTAGAACGATTATTAAAACTTTATAATTACAGTTATCGTTATCATCCTTGGTGTGAAAGGCCCTTATCTTATCGTCCTTTATGTGAACGGGCATTTAAATATTTCATTAATAGAACCCATTTACATGAGATTGTCTTTAATTGCTCAACAAAAATCTTATATTTTAACCTGAACTCCAACATTTCTCATTAGATTGAACCATTTTACGCACTCAGGTAAGGTTACCTGAGCTTCATTGTGTCACAATGTGTTTACTTCTACTTACTACTAAATATTTTTAGGAGAAACATTTGAGACAAAGTTCATAGGCCAACTTAAACTAACATACCTGAGAACTCAAACTTCACAGAGCTTTGAAAAGCAACTTCCGACTTCGAGTAATAATAACACTTTGCACTGGTTTAGAAAACCTTTTGAATGTTTTCTCGATGTTTTCTCGATCAATCGACAGTCGTTATAGCTACGTTTTCTTTAAAGAATGCTCGAAAACAACGCTGAAAATAAATCACTAAGCGAAACTAAGAATATATGTCTCATTACAATAATTTGGTTATTTTACAATCATAAACGCATTCTAATCTCAGTGTGTGTGTGTGAATGGCTCGCGCGATACCTGTTGGCTGTTGCGCGCTTGTAGTTTGACCTCTTCGCTTTCCGTAGTTTAAATCCTCTCGACCTCTGACTTGCAGTAAACTTCTCTACTTCCTGCTTGCTGTCCGACTCTCAAAAGCCTGAAAAGGCGATGTTTTTAACAGAAAGGGATTACATTTCGATTGATTTGGACTGAATTTGAGCACAAGATGAGCTGGTATGTATCACAACGCCTATGTGGATTAATAAATACTAATAAATCGGTTGTTTACGAGCGACGTGAAGTGCCGCTGGTTGTGTATCAATACACAGTGAACTTCCTTCCTAGACTGCACTTCGAGCGTTCGAACACAACTAAAATGCTGTCTGGTTAGGCAGCGCGCGTGCTTTTGACACACAGCCGTTGACTGTGGCTAGCAAGCTAATTTAACCGTGTTTGAGGTTACGAATGAGTTTACTGCCTATTTAAACTCCGAAAAGCGACGTTTGGTTGTTGATAATTCAGATTTGTTTGAAATGTTCAGTATTTCACGCTTTCAATTGATCTCTATTGTTAGCATTTAGTGTCTTTCCCAAGTTACAGTAGCTAAGTTGGCTCACAAGTCCTCAGAGACACAATGTTTACAGTTTGATTTATCAATGTTCTACTTCTTATATAACGTTACTTTATGAGTAGCAGCTATAGGTTATTTGATTCTTATTTGTAGCTCATTTAATTATAAAAGAGCATCAAATGTAGACACCCTGTGATATGTGTACGTCTAAATGCATGACTTATTTACAATGGGTTTTGGAGTCTGGAACAGGAACATTTAATGTATTCTGTATTAAGAAAACCATAAGAACTCATAATAAACCAGTAGCCTTCACTGATCTGAAGAACCTATAATGTTACATCACAAACCATATAAATCCAAAGAACTATACAGTACACATGAATCTTCTAGATCCCAAGGATGTTCTTTGCTAAGGTGTCTTCAAAAGAAACACCGAAGAACCTATTTTTAAGTGTAGTTCCCTTCATCAGTCTCTGAGTCTGTGTTTCACTAGATTCCAGTAAACTAGAGACTTTTAAGCATTTGTTTTAGGTTGAACACAATGGACCACTGTCGACTTGTGTAGTTTTGCCTTGTCAGTTTGTTTTGCTTCCATCAAGATGTAAGAGAACTTAGGAAAGACATTGCCATTAAACTACAAAGGTTTGGCGGATTTGTGTTTAGATAACATAATAATTTGCCACGCTGCTCCAACAAATACACAGTGATTTTGTGCTGATTATGTTTTTCAGTTCAGCGGCGCTTATATGTTCATGATGCGATTTGTAATGCTGTATGTATAGTAATCGTTATGTCCACTACAGTAACACTTGACAGCTGGCATTTAAATTTCATTTGCATCCTTTTCATGTGCATCCGTAAAGTCGTAATGCAAGGAAAGTAGCAACAGATTTCTTTTTGTTGCATATTGTGGCGAACATCCGGGTCGAACGAATTTTCGAAAATAAAAAAAGGTTACACTTTATTTTAAGTTGTCATTGTTAGTGTAATTGTATATTTAAGTACTGAGTAATATTAATTAACCACATGTACTTACTATAGTGTTAGGGTTTGGTTGAGGGTTAGTTGCATGTAATTATGCATAATTTACTGTTATTACTATAGTAGTAAGTACATGTAACAAGGACACTGTAAAATAAACTTGGTTCTGTGCATCTGTTGTTGATTGGATGAAGGCAGATCTGAATGTGAGCTTGAAGTCAGTTGTAAGAAAGAGACACAGTTTAATCTGAAGATTGAGTTCTGACATTTTGATTTAGGCCTATAATTACACGGTCGAAAAAAAAAAAATGATATGCATGGTTGAATAGTTCAGAATAAAATCAAAAATAGAACACAGGTTTGGTGATTTTCCGATTCACGCCGACTTTAATATCATGTAATTGTCCAATAATAACTTGATTAGACTGCATGCAGCAAAGCTGACTTGGCTCTTTAAGGTCACAGTTCTCAGTCTGAACGATTGGCATAATGTGAATGAACTTGGGATGCTGAGATGAACAGGCATGTGTTTGTTTTGGCTCATCACGGCTTTGTGACCACACTAGAGCGATCCAGTACAGGCAAAAATGAGTTAAGTCATAATTCATAAAGTCCACTCTCTCTGGCTGAAGCGATTGAGGATTTTAACGTCACAGAACATCAAAACGTCATTCTTTAAAGAGTCCAGTCCAAAGCAGAGACGAGATTGCTTTTCTGGCCTTTCCTTTTGACGTATTTAACATTCTACCATTTGCATTGTAAGAGGTTGGACTTTGGAAATTGAATCGGCGTCACAGGGCTCTTCTGAAAGGTCAGTGGCCAGCAGAGGATGCTTCCTCTCCAGTGTGCTTAGTGTTGGGGTGAAAGAATCCTTTATGAACCAGGCTGACCCACTTCATTCATTCAGGGCCTCTTGCTAGATAGAGTGACGTGGTCGTTCTGACACCGGGGTCGCCCTGAAAACAATTACCGCTCCCTAGTCGTCAACCAAGTCTCTGTACTCCTCGGAGATAAGATCCCGGCGTAAAACTGCAGTCTCAACAGATAGAGCTTCCATTAGCTGACTTCTCCACTCGGGCTGATGTGTAGCGTGAGTCAAGTTTGCCTGTTCTCCGCGTAATTTTTGCTGCAAGTCTGAACTAGGCTTTTGTTCGTGCTTCTGTCACTCGCACGTCTGCGATTGCGCTGATAGCGTAAAGCCTTTGATTTCAGAACAGGGCACCTTTCATGATTCTGTGAGTGTGAATGGAGAGGATTTTGTTTAGGTCGACTTGAAAGTGTCATTTAGTATCTCTGCAGAATTACCAGAAGTCATGTAACGCTTTATTTTAATTGTAAAAATCACATCAGTTGGCCAATAGGTCAGGCCTTGAGCGTGAATTTGTAGGGTTTGGGGCATAAGCTATGAAGAAAAAAAAAATAGTTCCATCCATCCATCCATCCTTACTTACTTACTTAACTTATACTTACTTATACTTACTTACTTACTAACTTATACTTACTTACTTTTACTTACTTATACTTACTTACTTATACTTACTTACTTATACTTATATGTATACTTATACTTATATTTATACTTACTTATACTTACATACTTATTCTTACTTATACTTATACCGGTACTTTCTTATACTTGCTTATACTTATACTTATACTTTTACTTACTTATACTTATACTTACTTACTTATACTTACTTATACTTATACTTACATACTTATACTTACTTATACTTATTCTTACTTATACTTATACTTATACTTATACTTACTTACTTATACTTATACTTACTTTTACTTACTTATACTTACTTACTTATACTTATACTTATACTTACTTATACTTACTTACTTATACTTATACTTATACTTACTTATACTTACATACTTATACTTATACTTACTTACTTATACTTACTTATACTTATACTTACTTACTTATACTTATACTTATACTTACTTTTACTTACTTATACTTACTTATACTTACTTACTTATACTTATACTTACTTATACTTACTTACTTATACTTACTTATACTTATACTTACTTTTACTTACTTACTTATACTTACTTACTTATACTTATATTTATACTTACTTATACTTACTTACTGACTTACTTATACTTACTTTTACTTACTTACTTAAAGGCACACTGTGGAATTTTTGGCCACTAGGGTGCGCTCGACCTGTAATTTTCACGTCTAGTGCCCCTAGAGGCCACAAACGCCGCAGCATTGTCGCAAAAGTCAACAAACAGTCAACCGGTCAACCTCCCGTGTCTGCTACCAGATGAATTGCATACAAATTAAACAAAGGCTGTAGCTAGTTGTTAAGTTGCAGCCCTGTTTCGTTTCAAAATCGGAGGATAAAGTGTCTGCTGAATGCAAACCTTTCCCAATATTTATAAAATTTATATTTGTACTAACATTTAGCTACCAGATTGATAATTCGCTAACTTACTCTACTAGCATTCCTTGTTACATTAAGTTAAATGGAGGAGGACAATATAGAATCAGTAACATGGCCAGGCAGAGAACAAATTTGAAAAAATAGAGATATTGTGCAAGCAATATATTTAACTTACTAGTCCAAAAGCATGACGGCCAGGTCAGCATCGGTCGGGAATCCCTCATCCTCCTTTATCGCACGCCAGCGAGGGAACGCTTGACCAATGTTTATTCTCGTCCTTGCTTTTAGTTTATCACTCTCCCTTTTTCTTTTTTTGGTCTCCTCTGACAAAATCTTTGCTTTCTTCGCTTTCTTCCGAGTAGCTGTTGATTCAGCCATGACGACAACATACAGACGCCAGCAATCAAACGCGAGTTGAGCTCTCACGTTAGAATCTGAGGAAGTTGTGGGTGGTGGGGGAAGTGACGTATGCCGTAAAGCGGTCGAATTTTGTAGTTCTTTTTGTGCTCGGGTTCCTACCCGAAACCCGAAGTTACATAGTGCTAGTAAAAGCGATACAGACACCTTCAGGCTTCGGCAGACTTGTCATTCAACCTATTGTAAGTCGATGTACCATCTCAATGGGTTTTGGTAATATATTATAAAGGTTGAAAAGTTCCACAGTGTGCCTTTAATGTTTTTTCCTTTTTTTTTTTAGTGGTCACCTGTCCAAATGCTTAAATTCATGATTTTCAGTTGAACCAGGAATATTAGTGTTAAGGATTTTTTTCTATAGTGTTACAGACCAAGAAAACCTAACTACAAGTGTGAACACACCCCTACTTCTCCAAACTCATTTATAGCAGACCTCTAAAGTTATAGCTAGAAATGGGTCTTACACTATAACCGGACATGATGCCACAAATTGTGTCACTCTTCCATGTTAACCTCGAGTTTCCTGACCAGCCACAACTGTAATGAACTAAAATGTATTTGCTCTGTCGGGCTGGGAAATCCCGCCCACAGTAAAATCTCAATGGTCCATAATTCTGCTCCACGAAGCTGTATTGAGCATCAAATATGGTCTGTTTGGCTGTCACTTCTTTCACCTCAGTAAAGACTGTGTTAGAGAGTTTTTCTTAACTGTACTATAAACATGCATTAAGTTGCGCCAAGCTGTGCAGCACAAGTTTTAATTACAGTTTCTAAATGTTCAAAACTGAAACCAAAAATACTCTGACAGTGGCCATCATGTGACCATTATCTCTTCAGACACCACCTGATGT